GGATGACGAAGACGTGCTAAAATTGATGCTTCATGTTCGGCATCTAAAGATTCATTTGGGGAAGCATCACCGATAAATATTGCTTTTAAAACTTTTCTGAAATATAATGAATTTGTTAATATTTATTCATAAGATGTTTTTTAAGCATACTTTTCATGTTTAGATTTTGTATCATGAACTAAATAAGCTGTACCAAAACTACCTTGACCAAGTTTTTTTATTTGTTGATATCGATTGGCATACATGGTAGTTTGTGCAGTTTCTCCGGATGTACACATGATTTTTCTATCACCAAAAATGTAGATTTTGAAATGAGTCACATATAGTTTAAAAAAAGAATCTTGACGGCATTAATAGTAGTTAACCGATGAACAGACGGCATTTTGAATGATGTTGTCTGCAACGGACCCTTTCTTTCTGTTCGTATTCATATAATATAGATGACTCTTGTTGTAGATGAAGAATGAAATTTTTTTTGTACAAACACAACTGAAATTAAATAGAATTAAAGAGTGTCTGTCGAAGAGAAATATTCAAGAAATATTCTATGCATTTAACGAATAGAAGTCATATATACTAAAACATATACGAGAGCATAATTGAAAACTATTGTACCTTTAAGTGTTTGACTTATTTCATCGTCTTTTTAATTTTATTATAGCTAACTTTTTTTTCGGCCTTTAACCAAAAGAAATGATGTTTTCATATTGACTCATATGATTGTGTACGAGTGCTAATTGATGGCATCGTTAATGTATAATATCAAACATTTTACAAAGGCAATTCTTTATTTATTAATACTATACGATACAATTTTTTCAATGGTAAAGATCTAGATTTTCTAAATGGTAAGGCTATTCAACAAGACTTGTTTACATTAATTGAGGAGCTAAAACTTCAATTTAGAAGAAAATCGGTTCTTAAGTCTATACAAATATCTATATAAAGTAGTTATTCTAAGCAAATAGATCTCAATGATTCTGATAAGAAGCTCAGTTTGATAGATTTCTGTCACTAAATCATATAATTAAAATTCATTCAATCAAGCATAAAAATACGAAATCAAAGATTTATTCGTTCCATTATGTTTTTCTTTCCATTGATGGTGCAAAAATCTCGATTTGCTAATTAATTAAAAAGAGCCATTTGATTCCAATATCCAGTGGCATCTATCATCTTAGCTTTCTCTTTCTCGTTTTGCAATTATTACAAAATTACAAAGTAGTAGTGGTGCAATCACGAAAGACTCAATCCATTCCAGAAGCTGTTGAGCTCTTCTCGTTTTCAACGACCAAAATTTGCTTAAAAATGGATTGAGGCCGTTGTAAAATTGTTATTAAAGGATCTCTGTTCACAACTGTTTTTTTGGTCAAGCTAATATTGCAAATGAGCTTGAGAATATTTAATTATTCGTTTGTTCCACCAGTCATGTTTTACATAATATAAGTCATTCAATCAATGATAAATTTTTCTTCCCAACACTTCTTGAGTTTTTATATCTTCTATTTGAAATATGTTTTTATTTCATAGTGAAATCTCTCTCTCTCTCTTGTGAACACCGTGGAGATCGTTAAAAATTTTCATTATATGGACGTGTTTCAGTTTAGAGAATTAAATGCAAGGATTGCTGTAAAATGAAAAAAGCTTCTAGAGTGTTCGTGTCTGTATTAATCTAACATAAAGATCTAGTGATGTATTTTCTTCTTCATCTACTTTCATTTAAATGATTTGAATTGAAAGATGTTCCCATAAAGACACAAGATTTTGTTCTTCTTTTTCAAAAACTCTCCAATGTATCTTGTCTTTTTGCTTTTCAACTTATATCAATATCCATTAATTTTGATCGTAATTCAATGATTAATTCATAGATAATGTGTACTTAGCCATAATACACATAATACTGGTCATCGACAATGAAACGTGGTTAATAAAAATGGCACGTGTGTTCAAATTGGAGGGGTTCTTAATAGCATGAGAAACTACAAAACAGTGTTCACATCAGAAGAAGATATTTCCAGCAAACAATTAGCGGATTTATAAGGAGACACGGGGAGTGGTAGTTTCTTTCAAACTGTTTTTCGGTTTTTTTCAGTACAAAAACGGCAAAAAATGAGCCAATATAACTTCAATTGGATTTGAAAACACGGTTGCTGACTATGATCACCTCTATTTTCCGAAATTCTCGATTTATCACTACCGTCAGATCTGACACCATTCGTAATGAGAAAGTGCTTACTGCTAAGGATTTTACTGTAGATTAATTTCTCCTGGTCGTTGAATTTTTTTCACAATAGCATCTATAAAACTTGTTGCCTATACTAGCAAACCGTTAGTACCTGCACTAGTATTTAAACAAAATTTATTTAACGATTTTCTGGAATGCCCATGCTTTAATATTATTTCCATGTTCTCGTTTCCGAACTCTTGACGAGAATTGTCGTTCCCTATTCCCGCGAGAAATAGGACGGATAAAAACAAAAAAAAAATTGTCCCGACAGGACATCAGAGTAAATATCCTGCTTTTATTCATTATTTTGCAACATTTGTTGAAGTTTAACTTCCAATATAATAGTTATACTGTCTGGAAAAATAGATCATTATTTTTTTTCAAAATTCACGACTTTTGTTGACATGCGCTATTCAAGATATAAGAAGATACAATCAATTAATATCTAAACAATTTCTTGAATGTTCATTCTTTATTTATGGACAAAGTTGTTTCTAAAGATTTGTTTTGTGAAACATGACCTCAATCGAATATTGAAGTATAGAGATAGAAATATCGATCTAGCCATCTCCTCCCGTTCGCATAGACGTGACGGGCATCATTAAGAGATTATTACACATCGTGACAGGCATAAAAGCGAGATCACAGTCTAATGTGGAGTTAATATAATAGTTGCTCTTTATGTTTTATCACAGTCACTACAATATGTTGGGGTTAATATATTTCCTCATCAACATGCATTGACAGTAGATAGGAATTCATAAACAGAAACGTACATTGATTTATCTCTTCTTTTACAATATCATCAGCTCCATTGTGTTTTACGTTGTAATCCCACAGGGACTGTGCTAACAATTTTTCTGAATAAAGATTGAAGTAATTTCTATCGATATTTTGATTGTAGAATAAATATAAAATGGTCTATTTAATTTTAATCTTAATTTAAAAAAAAATAACACGACATGGTTTTAAATTGAAACGGGAGTCTTTGGAATCAAAGTCTTCCATATTCCATCGACCCTCTTTTTGTCGATGGTAGGTTTATGAGATTATATAAAATATAGAAGATATTATAATTCTAAAGACCCCTCAGAATTTACTATTCAAGGAACAGAGATCTAAATACGATTGAAACTATATGAATCGATAGAGAAATTAAGCAGTTATTTGGACATAAAATAATAGAAAAAACTCAACTGCTTAGACATATAAAATGTTCTGTAGCGATTCACTTGATGAAAATAGACATAAATCAATAAATAAACAACTCTTCTATTCATCAACATCAAAACATCTCCATACTCGAATCGATAATAATTCTCAGAGATATTAATCAATAAGTGATTTCAAAATAGCCAAAAAAAAGAAAAATCCATTTTTTGATTTCTTTTTCGAAATTTATTAAATTTCCGATAAGAATATCAGAATAAATACTACATGATACAATGAAATAATCAATGCTCTTCCTAACCGTAACAAAATAAAAAGCATGTGAGATTGAATATAAATATATCAAACTGTCAAAAATAATCTAATCAATTTTTACATTGAATAAGAACATCTAAAAGACGTTAAGTACAAAAGATAGAATTAGAAAAATATAAATATTTCTTAGATTCATTTACAACTAGAATAAATAAACAAGAGAAAGACCAGTAACTTCTACATTATAGGGTAGCAAATCAACAAAGTGTTTTTATCTTATTTTACTAAGTATGGTAAAGATACTATGTTTTTTTCCAGTCAAGTACAAAGAACAGTACTACTGTGAAATTATTAATGTACTGCGTACATTACTTGTCCTTAAGGTTAAAGTACTTGATAATAACATTATTGCCTAGAAAACACCAATAGGTTATGGTAAAATAAGGATTTCAATTTGATTGGTTCATTTCTTATTTTATCAAGTGAGCCACACATCTTTTTTTTGTTTCAAGTTTACATGTTTAGTTCATTTTCTATGACTATTTTTATTCTGTATGCAAAAGTATATGTATAGTTTATCGTAATTCCGATATTTTTCTTTCATATCAAGCTTGTATATTTATTTCAAGAAATTGATGCAATCAATTTAAATATGATTTAATTCATAGAAATTTTCGTTTTAATTTGAAAGAAAAATGTTTATATTTTAGATTTATTGATATTCTACTTTCTGTTTGACAAGAAAATTTCTTTATTATATTTATGATAGAGCTCTTATGAATTACAAATAAAAATTTTAAAGAACTCATCTTTATATTATTTTTATATGCTCAGTTGACATTTCTTTCTATGCTTTTCAATATAGTTTCATATGATCTAAATAGTATAAGCTCTAATCTTTACTGATAACTAATAATGACAGTAACTATATTATTAAAATGTACTAATAATGCAATAGCATGACATTGACAAGTATAGAAGTAAATGTGATTTTTACTATTTATGAGATAGTAATAAATAGTTTAAAAAATATCATCGAAGTAGCTAGTATATGAAGAAAATTTGCATAATCAATATAGCGAAATTGATTTTAGTTTGATATTTATTAAGATATATTTTTTTTTAATGAGATATTAAAAAGAAAGACTAATAAAAAAAAACAAAAAGGATTCAATGATATCACGAAGAATAACCTCAGAATTACTAATTGATATTCAAATATTCAATTTTTTTTCAGTTTAATACAACTTTTATTTGTTATCAGTTTCGACGTTTTTTTGAAACCAATTTATATCTAAAATGATTTGGAATATATTTCAGATGTATCTGGTATTTTATATGTGAAATAATGCGTTTAAGTCGATTACTATTGAATCTATCCAGTCATATTGAATATTATTCGAAATTTCAACCAACATCATTTACTCTGAAAAATCTTATTGATTTTGGTTTGTAAAGAAAAAAATAAAATTTTATTATGAATAAAATTTTTTTTTTAAAAATTTTCTAGCTCGTGATGGTGATATTAAACAATCGTATAAATATCTCCGTATTGAATTGCTCATACGATGGTCTCATATGCGCAAAGAAATGAATTATTTACCACCGAAGTAAATCAAAAACGACAAATCACTACGAAATAATTTTTCTTTCTTTTGTTTTTAGACTACTTGAAATGCCAAGTTTTAAATTAGCAAATTCATGGTATGATCAAAGTTATTCTGAAATACTTGAATTTAAAAATGTTGAACCAGATATGTCAACACTTCGCAAGTACTTGTATTATTATTTTTTTTTCTGTATTGCTCATCTATGTAATAAAAATATAATAGATTTACCGAAATATTAGTTGGTATACGAAACCGTCATACTGATGTGGTAGCAACATTAGCTCAAGTGAGTTCATTATTTTATAATATATTTTTCTAATGATTTCTAAATTTTTTTTTGTTGTTTAGGCATATATAGAATTTCAAAAAGTTAGTTCAATCAGTTTAATAGAAAAAGGTCGAATACAATATTTTTATGATCGATTTTTCATGAATCGAATTGGTATAAGAACATTAATTTATCAACATAGTACGTTCAAATTTTACTTTCGATCATTTCATACGATATCAATACTGAAAATAATTTTGTTTTTGTTAAGCTCTTCTATTTGGTGATGAATTTCCTCAACATTCACAACAAGCCGGTATTATTGATCCATCTGTCAATGTGGTTGCTGTTATTGGAGGTAAACTATTTTTTGTTTTCTTATCTTTAATCATATGTAATAAAAGATTTATTACAAGTAGTAACAGAAAGATATGCTTCTTTTCAAGTCATATTTATACAAATTCCAAGCTTGTGTTATGCTATTATTTTAATTAGATAGTTATTTTTTATCTAACATTATCTGAGTAAAAAGCAAAAAATGTAAAGAGGAATTTCTTTCAATATCTATTTATACTGATTAAAGTTCAATCATAATACAGTTTTTTTTTTCTTCTTCTATTTAAAATGCATCAAAAGTCGATACAACTGTGCAGAAAAAACTTGAAGAATAAAGAAAAAGAAAAAATGCTCGATTAATAGGAGACATACTGACTTTCTTTTTTCGAGAACATCATAGGAATTCTATATTCTGAAGCGGATAATTAATTTGCGATGATTTTTTTTTCATTCAATATATATATATATATAGAGGCTTATTCAACAGCAAAACATTTATTTGAACAAGTATCTTATCCAGTACCTAAAATTGAAATCGAGTCTTATAATGGTAAATATAATAAAAGCAAAAATTCTTATCATAATTAATCTATATATATATAAATATTTATTTTAAGTACAAGATCATAGTACAAATCCTATAACAATTGTTTATATTCCATCACATATTTATCATATTGTTTTTGAATTATTAAAAGTAAATTAATTTTGATTAATAAAAAAATTGTTTTTTTTTTTATATAAAAGAATTCACTTCGTGCAACTGTTGAACGATATGGTTTAGATGCTAAAGAATATCCACCTATACATATACTTATTGTTAAAGGTCATGAAGATTTAACAATACAAATTGATGATCGTGGTGGTAAGATATATCATATATATAATTTAATTAGATATTTATTTTGAAAGTTTTATTTAAATTAAAAAAGAATAAATTCTTGAGATTCTATCACATGGTTTCTCTGGCAATTAGTTTGGGGTAGGTGATTGACGTGTAATTTTTTTTATTTAAATAGAAGTGTGATTCTTACATATTAACATCACAAGTAACATATTTTGAATAGTACGTTGATATTCATAGATTATTAATGGCATAACATATAATCATTATTGATTTTCAATATTATTAAATACTATGTAGTGCATTCATTCGAATGAATAATAGATTCAATAAATAACTAACTACAATAATATTTCTCTTTGTGTGTATTCTAGATTAATCAATCGTTTGTTAGTAATAGAAATTCTAAACTTGTTGACTTTTTGTAGGCCTAGTTAATCAATGAAAGAATCTAAGTGAACCCCTTCAGCTTGCGTGATGTAGTTGATGTATTGTTTTTTTATATTCTCATATTATAGTGATTCTTGAGTGGAATCAGAAGAATGCTATGATAAAAATTCAAGGATATTATATAGATCGAAATGAGATGATTAGATGAAAAACATATTAGTTTAATACTTCATATATATATATATATTATTCGTAGGAAAAAGATAAAGACAAAGAGTTAACAATTAAATAAAATTTCTATTTTTCATTGAGAATTTTTTTTGCGATATTTGACGATTTAGTCTAACGAAACACATCAAGACCAGATGGTAAATTAGACTAATAAATGATTAACAATGGTGAGTAGTTATTTGCAAGATATTCTTTCTAAACTGATATCTGCCATTTTAGCTCATATTAAATCTACAAAGATGCCTTGATGAAACTAGAAAAATTGAATTATTAGTAGAATATCGTGTAAGTTTTATCCGAAAACAGTTTTTTTTTTGTTAAGATATATGGAATTTTAAAGTAACGTCGGTTTTTGTATTGTGCCTGTGACAAATGATTATTTTTTGGAAATTTAATATATCAACGAAAGAATATTTTTTTGGAATGAAAATTTTAGGATATTCTATAGATTATCCCACCTATATATAGGCAAAATTTCACATTGAAATTTTTGTTTTTTCTATTTTTTTTTTTGTCAAGCTCAATCGAAAATTCAGTAAAATGATCCTTCGTCTGCGCCAACCTATATGAATACAAACTATTTAGATTTTTCTAGTCTTACAGAGATCTTTTTGTAGGTTCCTGATGAGTTCAAACAGTAGGTATCCGTTCGAATAGTTCCCTGGTGTGAGCGGCAAAGATAGATAAGTAAATAGTCAATAAACAATGCATTTATCATATGTGTTGTGCCAAGATTATACCCAGTGAAAGGAGTATAATGTCATAGGAAATTTTGTAGCATCAAAGTTAATCCACTTTTTCTTGTAATAATTACATTTTCTATTTACAAAAGAAAAGTTTTGTCTTCAAATTCAAAAGAAATAAAAGACATGTGGCCTGTGTAGTTTTTGATAAGCTCTAATATCATAGTCTATGTTTGCCTTCAGCAAAAAAATACTCGACTGTCTGCTTGAACTTTCATACGACATAAACAACAATTTGTTTTTTTCACTCCGAAGCCACTGATCGAATTAGTAAAGACGCGATGTTTCAATACGAAAACTATAGAAAAATAAAAGATGTACTAATTTGAATAACATTTTCTTTTCTGTAAATTATTCTAATGCATACATTTATTCATTAGCAACTAGAAATAATAATTAAATTCTTGAGAAAATGATCAAAAATATAGAAGGATTTTTCTAAAAACCAAAAAAAAAAAATCTGCAATTCTCTAATATAAAAATTTATCTCTGTTAACAACGATACACAAATTTTTTTATTTAATTATCAACATTTTTCTTTCTTCCAGCTAAAACCCATGCCTTTTTTCTTCTGTTGCCCTTGTTTTATTTCTGCAACTAGACATTCTATGAATCATTGCACCCTGAAAAGAACATCTTCCATCTCTGCCCTTCTTTTTTCTACGTTCCAAGACATATGTTTATGTTCTTATCTATTCTATACATCAAAACCAACTAATATATATATATATATAAATTCTAGGTGGTATACCACGTTCAAAATTATCACAATTATTTCAGTATATGTATTCTACAGCACCTAAATATTTATTAGATGGACCTGAACAAAATAAAAATAAAACACCTATTGCTGGTCTTGGTTATGGTTTACCAATAGCACGTCTTTATGCTAAATATTTTCAAGGTAGTCTTGAAATAGCATCAATTGAAAACTATGGTACATCAACTTATGTATCTCTTCCAGTAAAATAGAAAAAAATTTTCTTTTTTTTTGATAAATGAATCTAAATATTTATTTTTGTTTTATTTTATTCATTAGGCAACAGCAGAAAATGCCAGGTAAACATAATAATTCTTATGTACGAAAACAAACATTCACTTTATACTTTAGTGAACGTTTACCAATATTTAATAAAGCTCGTTATTCATATACAACAAAAAAAGGTTCTGATTGGACTTAAATGTTAAAAAAAAAAAAAAATCCTTTTCAACTTCATTTTTTTTCCTACGTTATGTATATATTCTGGTGGACAAAAATTTAGATCAGCTGCATTGTTAAATTTTCTTCTCGATGATAATCACTAGTAAGAATCTGAAAAAAAACATTTGTGTAATTAAAAGAATATTCTGTTAAGATTCATACGGTCAAAATCTCCAACAAAATTTCTCGGATGAAGGCCTGCAGAAAATTAAGATTTCCAAAAGCAACTTTCTGACTTCCACTCAAAGTCGTTGGGAAAATATTGTTTTTTGAAAGAGTAAATAATTATGAACAAAATAATACATCTCCTATCTTTTCATAGCCTTCCTTCAATTCACAGAAGACCTAGAAGCATTTCTCTTCTTGTTATTGAAAATTCCAATGTTTTTGTTATGTTTGAAGCTTTGAGATCTTCTGTAAATTGAAGAAAGGCTATGGAAAGAATAAGAGACGTATTATTTTGTTCATAATTATCTCCTCGATCAAATAAAATCTTTTTTTCAAAAGCTTCGAATAGAGATTAGAAACTTAGTTTTGAAACCTTGATTTTCCGTATACCCTTATCCAAGCAGTTTTGATGAAGCCTTTAGATCCTACTAATCATAATAGAGAATCTTTTCAGCTACATAAGTGTTTTTTTTTTCAAATTCTTGCTAGCTATTATTGTCGAGAAGAAAATTTGAAAATAGGCTATTTTAAACTTTTGTCTGCTACACTTATATACACATATTATATCGTTGAAACTAAATTTTAGATAAAAAAAAAAAACAAAAGAAGAAAAATTTGTCGATGATGAGATTAGTTAAATTGATCTGTAAAAATTTGAATGCATTTTAATTAGAAAAGAAAAAGCAAAAGAAAATTAAAGAATGCATTTAACTCGGTTATTACGTACACAACAAAATACTCTATCACATCTTATTGATCATTATGCTAAATATCCACCAACTGGTTTAACAATGAAAAGAATTGTTGAGTTTGGTGTGTTTCATGTATTTTTTTTTTCTTATTCAAATTTTATATATTTCTTTCCTTTTTGTTTATTTAATAAATAGCACGTGAAGGTGATGCTAAACAATCGTATTTATTTCTTCGAAATGAATTACCTGTTCGACTTGCATCAATGATGAAAGAAATGGGACATTTACCATCACGTCTTCTTGAAATGCCAAGTGTTAAAACAGTTAATGGTTGGTATGGAACTAGTTTACATGAATTAGATTCATTTAGACATGCAACACCAACTACTGAAACCGTAAAAAAGTAATAAAGACAAAAAAAATATATTTTGATTAGATAGATTATTTTTATATTTATAGATTTACAGAAATTTTACAAAATATACGTAAAAGACATTCAACTGTTATTGAAACATTAGCACAAGTAATAGATTTTCTTTATGTTTTCATTCAATTGATGATTTATTTTTTTTTGGTCTTGTCTTGTCTTCTAGGGTTATATGGAATTTTCTGATACGGGTCAAGTCAAAGAATATGAAGAGTCTCAAATACAGTATTTTCTAAATCGATTTTATTTATCTCGAATATCAATTCGACTACTTATTTATCAACATAGTATGTTTAATTCAAAAAATCAAAGAATTTAGTTTCCATTATAAAAATTTTAAAATGTAAAATCTGTCAACATTAGCTGATATATTATTTTTGTAGCCGAATTATGACATCAGATAGATAGGTCTAATGACTTTGAGAATATTCCGACAATTTCAGTTGAAAAGAATGTTCGTTGATCAAGATACTGAATTTACAAAAAAATCATCGTTTTACAATAAAAATCGAGTTTACTTGAAATTTCAATAGCTCGACAAAAGAACATGGTTTTCAGCTGAAACTTTCAGAATATTTCCAGAGTTATTAGACTTATCTATGAACGGCTATAATTGGATCTCAGAGGATCGTGGACACGAACTTTTCTAATCTTGCCGAGGGCTCCTTATGAATCCAATATGAGGTTAAACTGTGGATATTTGTATTACAAGTTCCCTTCTTAATTATATCTTGAGAGAAATCTATCATTTTGTCATATGTAAAATTAAGTCTCTATGAATTTATACTTTTTTTTTTGTTACTAACAATTAAAATTCTATACAGATAAACACTTATAGTGCTGGATCAATATTAGTGCCAGTCGGGTTCAACAATTCATCAAACAAGTCATATTCGAAAATTACCAGCTAATTATGACTTGGTTATTATAAAACCATTGTCAAAATTGTCTGAGAAATGTAATAAACATATCAGTAGTAATATACAAATAATCGACAAAAATTTTAATTTCGATGCACTCCAATTGATATTCAATATATTCAAGTAGATTTTAGAAGTTTGTAACGAAATTCTCTCGCATCTTTTTTTTTTCTTTCAAAATAATCATAATAAGAGGATTATATCCAAAAAAATAAAATGTGTCTAGTTGGCAGCAGTACGAATGAGTAATTTTTTACAAAAAAAAGTATATATTTTAGAATCGTATAACAGTTTCTGAAAGAAAAACATTTTTGTATCATTTTAATTTATTTCATTTTTTAAATTAGCAATGTGTTTTGGTGATGAAGTACCTTTACATCCTACACATCTTGGTTTTGTTGATCCTAATTGTTTGGTCGAAGATATTATCAAAGGTAATATGAATTTAATAAACAATAAAAATTTCTATCTAAATATTCTTATTTTAAGATGCATTTGAAAATGCTCAGTTTTTATGTGAAGGTTATTATTTACAAGCACCTTCATTAGAACTTCGTAGAATAAATGGTAATTATTTTGATTTTTAAATAAAATTCTTCATTTTTCTTTTTTTTTTTATTTGTAGCAATAACTCCTGAAGAACCAATTGCAATAGCTTATGTACCGTCACATCTATATCATATGATGTTTGAATTATTCAAAGTTAGTTTTAAAAAAAAAACAAAGAAATTTTTTTTTCTTTTCGAAAAAAGATAATTTGTTTTCTTATAGAATTCTATGCGTGCAACTGTCGAACATTCAGAAAGTAAAAAATCAAACAGTGCATTGTCTCCGATTGTGGTTTGTTTGTTTTTTTTAGAGAATTATTTAAATTAATTTATTCAAATTTACATATAGGTTGATGTTGTAAAAGCCAAGGAAGATTTAACTATTCGTATAAGGTAATAAGAATTGTGAATTGTCTTCTTTCTATCATCATGATTTAATAGTGATCGTGGTGGTGGTATTCCACGTTCAAAAGCAGATAAAATCTTTCGATATATGTATTCAACTGCACCAAGACCTGTATCATTAACTGATTCTCAACATTCAGGTCCAACACCACTTGCTGGTTTTGGTTATGGTCTTCCTATTGTAAGTTTTACAGTATTGATAGAAACAAATATATATGAGTAATGGATTTTTGATTTTGTTTTTGTTCTACGATACTAAGTATTTAACTAAAATCCAAATAGTGGTTTGAATAGTCAATGAAGTTCTCTATCAAATGTATGACCATACCGAAATCCCTTAGATGAACTTAGAAAAAAGAAGAATAAGCTTATCTTTTGATTAATAGTTGATGTGAGATGCTGCTTACCGATAGATTCAATATTCTGATATTGCTCTTATAATGATTACTATCTGTAGTTTTGGACAGAAGAGCGGTCTGACATAGAATTTTTGCACTAAATTGCTTAACATCCTTAGACACGCTTATTAACTACACATTATTCACAAGAGCAGTTGTTTTAACATCGACTATGAGAGAAACATTTTAGGACAATTAAATACGTTATCTTTTAGATCTGAGAAAACTTTGTGACTAGTAATTTTTACATAGTACCATCCTAAAGTGTACAGAATCTTGAAGAAAATGATGGCTTATCGTTTTTTTCTACGATCTGGCTTTAAAAAGTTATAAATATGACAAAAACAAAAAAAAAAAAAGAAATGCATTTTTTAGCATTGCTAAAATAAATTTCGTTTATTTTTCATTTTTTATGATATTGATAACAAGATGATAGAAAATACGTTAATCCATCATTTTATTCACGGCATTGCACTCTTAAAAATAGTACTCTTAAAAACTAATTTTCACATAATATTCTAAGATCTAAAAAGTATCCTATTTAGTCATAATTCTTTATTGATTATTCAAATTACTAATTAAATTTCAGTTTAATATTTCATATCATAGAACAAAATATGTAAGTCTTATGTTTTTCTTTTTTAGTAGTACTATAATTTTAATATTTATACAGAAAATAAAAACAAACGAAATTGACTTTCTTTTTTTATTTTAGAGTCGACTTTATGCTCGATATTTTAATGGTGATTTAGAAATTCATTCGATTGATGGACATGGTACAGATGCATACATATATCTCCAAGTATGATTAAAATAATTTTTAATATTATATAAATTTATTTATTTTAATTTTATTAGGCTGTAGAAGATCATGCTAGTGAATGGTTACCAATATGTAATCGTGCAGCATATGAATATTATGTCTCTCGTAAATATCAATCAGATTGGACAAAAAAGAAATAATAAAAAATCTATAATTGAATCTAATTTTTCCGCACAGAACTAGCATTGATTTATTTTACATTATCATTTATTTTGTTGATCTTTATCCTGTAGTTTTTCAAGAACAAAAAAGAAAAAAAACAAGAGTAGTCAATAGATTTGTTCGATTTTGACGGTCAATTTATTCTCAGTGTATTTTCTTGACAGATTAGTTTCTTTGTTTTATTTTCTGCAGTGTTGTCTTATATTTCTGTCTCTTTATTATAAACATATTTTGTTCGAGAGAGAAAGGTGCTGTTCATGTGTTATTGTTTATTATTATTACTATTATTTTCTTTCAACACTGTTTCTTTTTTTTTTTTGTATATTTCACTGAAACATCTTCTTTTTTACATCATGTAAAACAGTGAAATATAATAAAGACAATAAAAAATTGTGTTGTCTTTTATTCATGGTAATTATTTGATTTGTTTGGTAATGATGATGATGATGATGATTGAAAATGTTGTCAACAAAAACAAGTTTAGATTGAGAATTTTTTTCAATAGATGATCTTAATTCATTTAAAAAGAAAATTATGAAACTAATTTCATACAAGAGATGAATAAGATGAAAATCGAAGATTATGAGATGATTGTATATTACGAGAAAAAGTTGTAGAATTTAGTAATATTGAATGAATAATTTTGTTCGAGTTTTTTGATAGTGAACTTGAATCAGATGAAGTTGTTCTTATTGTTATAGCAGGTCGAGTAGAACTATTTGATATAGTTGATGAAGAGATTTTATGTTTAATTATTGTAGTTGGGTTAGGTAACAATCTTGATTATTGATGATAGTGAATAATTTGTGATGTTATAATTGACGGAGAACATGGAACGTGAATACTAGTTGAATAAGTAATTGATAAATGAATGAATGATTGGTAATTATTGTCCCATAATTTCGTATGAGAATCTTGTTGGTTTTCTAAATGTCTTGTTGATGATTTTATATAATTTAATGGACTAGTTGCATACTTTTTTTTGATATCCGTGATTCAGTCATTATGCAACATGCGAAATAGTCGTTTTGACGTAGACAATGTTTTAACATTAATCGAATAACTTATCGATAAATCTTTGTTATTTTTCAATATGATCAATCGATACCAACATAAGTTTAAATGTATATGATTATTGTTTCGTCACATTTTTTTTCTCTTATTTTATAACAGATGAAATATAAATATAAATATCATTGCATATTTTGATCGATTATCAAATGTCAATGATGCATAGACAATAGTTATATATTTTTTTCTCCACATGTTAACACATTCATAGTTGTATTTGAGATAAAATTAAAAAATAGTGACAAACGAAAAAAACAAAAAAAAGAAAAGGAAGATTTCATATTTATTAATTAGAAAAGAACACATCCGTCTCTTCGGCGGTTTTGAAAATGTTTATGGAAATGTGATTTATGTTTCGATTCTATAGTGCTTGTTGGTCGCATTGTATTAGGAACATTTTCAATTGAAGAACGTCCTGATTGTGAACGATTTAAAACAACATTTGGTAATCGATTGATTTGTCGAACAAGATCAAAAAAGACCTAGAAAAACAAAGAAAGAAAAAAAAGATATATATATGTATATTTATAGATTCATAAGAAAAAAACAACAAAAATATTTTGTTTTTTTATACTTGATTAACATTTGCATGATCTTTAGCAGATGTTTCAAGAAAAGTACATTTCCATTTTCTTGCTAATGCTTGACCAACTTCACGACCAACAACTCGTTCATCTTCTAAATCACTTTTATTTCCTACAAGTATAATTGGTGGTAAACCCTAAATTTTGAAAAATGAATATTTTGTTTTTTCAGAACTAAAAGTTGGAGTTCTTTTTTAACATACATTAATTTCTGTATCTTTAACACGCATTATTCGATCATAATATCCTTGAAGATCATTAAATGTTGCTTGAGATGTTATTGAATAGACAAGAACAAAACCTTGTCCATTTTTAACATATAAATCTCTCATAGCAGAAAACTCTTCCTATTAAAATAAATAGAAAAAACTCAACCCAAAAAACAAAAAGAAGAAAAATGAATCTATTATATTAACTTACAGTTCCTGCTGTATCGAGTATTTCTAATGAATATTGTTTTTCATCTATTTCAACTGTCTGAAAAAAATATATATAGTTAGAAAGGAAATAAAACTCTAGCATAAATTATACTTTTTTATAGACATCTTCAATTGTTGGATCATATTTTGGCATAAAAATACCTTGAACGAATTGCATCGTCTATAAAATATAAAACAATAATTATCAGTTGATTAGAATCAATATTTTGTTTACCAAACATGATTTTCCTACACCACCAGAGCCAAAAATACATATTTTGTATTCAGATATTGGCATTATGGAATAGAAGATTGTTTAATGCAAGAGAAAAATTGTAAAAACAGAGGAAATGTGCAAGAATAATAGTTTTCTTTTTATTAAACGACGTCAACAATTATTTATTTCTTTTCTTAAGGGTCACCTATGTTTCGTATCCTTCACAAAATGTACGCTGTATGACGTTGATAGTATACGAATAAATACATATATACGTGCAATCGAAAAAAAAATAATGTCTACACTCTTATCGATGAGCCAATATCGAATGTAAGTGCGATGAAAAAAAAAATCAAAAAGAAAATCAAGCATGACTTCTGTGAATCATTATGATCGGCCACATCTATAAATATATATATATACATATATATGTTTTTTTCTTGTTTCTATTTATTCTAATTATCATCGCTCATTATCGATCGTAACGCTAGATAATTAGGCATAGAATTCTTTTTTCTTTTTTTTTTTTATAACAAAACACAACAACTAGAATCTTTGTCTTCTGTTTGAGCAGTCGATTTAGATGTTGATTGTTCTCTATGAAATTCTACACGTGCATCAGATGGATCGATACTTTTTGGTATTGATTTATTTGATCGTGGTACTTGACTTTTTCGATTTATTTGTCGAACTAAATCATAAAATACCTTAGAAAAAAAAAATACAAAATATATTGACTTTAATAAAAACAAAATAGGAAAATTCTTTTACTTCAGTAACATTTGCTCGATCTTTAGCTGATGTTTCAAGAAAATTACATTTCCATTTTCTTGCTAATGCTTGACCAGCTTCACGAGATATAACTCGATCCTTTTCTAAATCAATTTTATTTCCTACGAGAACTATTGCTGGTGGACCCTAGAAATTGAATAGATATGATTGAAATAGAAAAAAATTTTTTTTTTTGTTTTTTCGTTTTGTAAATTTACATGAGTATCAATATCTTTAACATTTATTATTCGATCATAATATCCTTGAATATCATTAAATGTTGCTTGAGATGTTATTGAATATACAAGAAGAAATCCATGAGAATCTTTAATATATAAATCTTTCATAGCAGAAAATTCATCCTAGAAATAGATTCATATAAAAGAAAAACAAATAAACTACAAATTAAATATTTATTTTTTTTTTCTTATTAATTTACTGTTCCAGCTGTATCAAAAATTTCTAATGCATATGTTTTTTCATCTATTTCAATAGTCTAAATTAAATAAAAATAAATTTTAGAATAGAAAAACAAAATTATAATTTAAATTCTACTGTTTTATAAACATCTTCAATTGTTGGATCATATTTTGGCATAAAAATTCCTTGAACAAATTGCATTGTCTATAACAATATAAGATAGAAAAAAGAAATAGTAAATAAAAACTTATAGATTATTATTAATATTTTATTTTCATACCAAACATGACTTGCCTACACCACCTGAACCAAAAACACATACTATATAATCAGCCATTATTAATTTAAAATATTTTCTGTATTTGTATTTGTGTTGTTAGGTAATAGTTTGAAACAAAACAATACTACAAATGTCTTGAATTTTTACGAAGTTGTTTGTCAATGTTAATAAAAATAACGTCTATCTTATTCTTATCATCAGCTATCTTATCCTTATTTATAAAAAAAAATAGATGTTTTATGTTATTGATAGTGTTTTATAGAACGCTAGAAAAGAAAAGGTTTCGGTTTTCAATGATAACAATATAACATAAAGATATTGAAACAAGAAAATATTATATGTCAGCTATCTCAAGTAAAATGAATTTCTCAATATTTTAATGATATTTCTTCTAATATTTATTCTTTTAGATTTTTTTTTTAATAGATTCACATTTTATGAATAATATCTGTCATTTCTCGAGACATGCTTCAAACGTCCAGTCCATAATGAAATGCAAATTTTTGTCGGTTTCTTTTTTTGTAATTATACATCAAGGTATTTCTTTGTATGTTACGTTTTCCTTATTGAGACAATGTAAAAAAAAAAAAACTCATGTCACATTGAAAAATTCAATGTACTTGAATTTAAATTACTTGATAATTAGTAGTCCTTGATGCTGAAAGAGGGCAAGTTGTTCTGATTCCACTGTTATGTTATTGATCAATGTAAGATATTGCACATCGATCTGCTAAAATGTAAAGATGTGCAGGATTATCCTATTTCATAGAGTAGAATAAGGATAAGATAATTTTTCTTCGTTAATGGACAAGATAAGAAAAAGAAACGCTCAACCTGTACATTTCTACTAGAATAATCATTTTCAATAAACAAATATTAAATTAATCTCAATATATCGAAAATGTTCTTTCAGTAGCATTCAAATATGAAAATAAAATTTTCAGAAAAAATTAGACATTTTAGTAGATCGATATGCGATGTCTCACATCCATGAATTACACAACAGTTAGATCAGGACAATTTGTTCTCTTCTATTATTATGAACCATTAACCATCGAGTAGTCTAGATTTACATACATTGAACTATTCAGTTTGAAATAAATTCTTATATTTTCTCAATCAGAAAAAAAGTTACATCGAAAGAAATATCTCTACAACATATAATCAAAAACAATTGACAATAACTTGTATTACAACATGGTTCATCTTGGACTAAAGTTCTGCAGTTTCACTTATCAAAAAAAAAAGACAATTTCGATTTGATTCCCCAAATATTATGTCGAACTGAAACTCTTAAATCATGAGACAGGTACAAATATTTTAAATCTATTTTTAGAAATCTTCACTATTGTATTGTTGAAATTCAAAATGTCACAGCTGCCAGTACTTAAATCAATCAGTATTATACATATCTATTAAAATTATTAAATCTCAAAATTGAAAAAATTTCGACATAGATTTAAGCATTTGTGTATCTATCTGATGATTTACTGATTTTGATTCTAATTTTTAGAAATCGCTGAACTCTCTATTAGACTATTCATTCGAAGCATATTTCTGTAATTAATAGATTTTCTTTACATTAATTAAAAAGCAATTATCATTTTATAGAGAATTCTGATTCAGAATCTATTTCAAAATAAATATCATTAAAATACTGAAAAAAGAAGTTCCATTTTTTTTTCTGAGACATTCAATAATTGACATGATTCATTCTGATCATATTATTATTCATGATCTGAGTCATATTCATAAAATGATTCAAACATGTTTTTTTTTTTTTTTTGTCTTGTTTTTGTTTATTAAATGTTGCCTATCTATAAGATAGATAATTATTGACTTTTGTTTTTTCTTTGTTTTGAAGAACACAAGATGAACAAGGTTATGTTTTTTCACTATACACAGACAAATAAAATGACAAATATGATAAAAGAACAATATGAAAAAAAAAAAGAAAAAATTATATCTGTTTTGTATTTCATTCTTTTTTTTTAATATCTTTCTCATAAAAGAATACAACAATCTTTGAATTGATCATTTGTTCGATTAGCTGGACGTGATGATGAATGATTATGCTGATAATCACCTCGGGATTCAAGTTGATCGAAACCTTGTGATGATATTGGTTTAGGTGGTCGAGGTCGTGGAGTTTTACGATTAATTTGTCGTATTAAATCAAAAAAAATCTATCAAATTATTTAATTTAATAAATAAATTTAAAAAAAAAAAGCTTTTACTTCATTAACATTAACTTGTAATTTAGCAGATGCTTCAAGAAATGTACATCCAAATGAACGTGCTAATGCTTCACCATTTTGTTTTCCAACAACACGTTCATCTTCAAGATCATTTTTATTTCCAACAAGTACCATAGGTATATCAGCACCAACATCTTTAACACGCATTATTTGATCTTTTATATCAAGTAAATCATTAAATGTTGCCTGAGATGTTATTGAATAAACAAGTATAAAACCTTGTCCATTTTTCATATATAAATCTCTCATTGCTGTAAATTGTTCCTAGATAAAACAATATATGAAGATTTTCTTTTAATCTTATAAAAATATTTTTACCGTTCCAGCTGTATCAAGAATTTCTAGCATACAATTAACACCATCAATTTCTACTTGCTATAATGAAAAAAAAAAAAGAAATATATTTGTTTGTTTTTATTATGTTCTAGATAATTAATAAAGAAAATTACGTCATTTTGTTCTTCTACTTACCTTACGATAACAATCTTCAATCGTTGGATCATATTTACCAACGAATATACCTTGTACAAATTGTACAGTTAATGCACTTTTACCTACACCACCACTACCTAATACGACTAATTTATATTCTCGCATGAAAATAGGATAAAAAAAAAAGAAAAAGCTTCAAAAAATCTAGAAGAACAAAAATAAAAATAAAATACTTTTGTAAGTAATTCAACTTTTATTTGCTTCAGCTTTTAGTTTCTTTTTTCTCTATGTCTATGTATGTGCATTGACGTCGTTTATATGTTAAACTTTTTACTTTTTTTTTTTTTTTTGAAATATGAGTAAGCGAGGTGTTGATCGAGCACGGGCAGCGAGCTAGTGATGGTTGTGTGACGCGCCAATGACAGTTAGCAAAGACGAAGAAGAAGAAGGGGAAAGGAAAGGTAAAATTTCTTCCGCAAACTTGGTCGCCATCGTACACGTCTAATTGACAAAAAACAACAGAGGTAATATACATATACACTCACATACAATGTGTAGTCTTTCTTTTAGAGAACAGAGAGAAGAAGAAGAAGAAGAAGAAGAAGTTCATTTTTATTCATTGATTCACTTTACTTTTTCGTTCTTTTTCCTTTTTCTTTCTTTTTTTTCCTTCCTGTCTTAATACATCGAGATAATATGTTGAAGAAAATTTTCATAATGACGAATAAAACAGAAATAAAAAAAGGAAAAAGAAGAAGAAAACGTCAAAAACTCTTTATTTCTTTAACGATTTTTATTTTTTTTTTACTTTAATCTCGTTGCTTATAATTGTCATAAGGAAAAAAAAAAAAGAAAATGATTGAGTACGAATGTTTTAGATAAGAAACTAAATCACATCTCATTATTAAGTGTAGATATGTGTACATAGAGATTAATTGATCCTCTTGTATTGACGTCGGTGAGAAGCGAACAGTAGGGTGGTAGTGGGTGATGAATTGAATAAGATTTTATCAAACTAGATAATGAAAAAAAAAAGTGTTGCTATAATACACATCTAATATTTCATTTTTTTTTTGGCATAAATGAATATAAATAAGATGACTTATTTGCTACAATGTGAAGTACAACAATGTCAAGTGTACATTATATCATTGATTTTATCATTAACAAAAGAGAAGACTTTTTTTTTAAACATTTTGTTCCTTCTTGCTGTTGATAGATATAGAATTCAAATACTTTGACGATTTTCAATTAATTTTCTTCATGTTCAAAGAAGAGAATATTTCGATACAACATGATATTTCTTTGATTAATTTACCAAAAAAGACCTTAAATTTTATTAGCATATAGTATTCAGACAAGTACTAGCGCGTAGGGACCATTCATGTGGAACATTCATTCGTTTTTTTTCTGTCTCTCGACGTATATAATGTTTATTGTATGTCCTTGTTCCAGTCGTAGTGCTAATTGTGTTTTATCGACGCAAACATAAAAGCCTATCAGAATATTGAATATTAGATTTTTATGGGTGGAATATCCAGTCAGTATTTTACTTAAATCTTACCGAAAAAAACTAAATTTAATTTTAGGTAGTCTCTTGCCTCTAGTTCGTGATTCTTCTGGTGGCAATGCAGATTATTTAGTTGGTGAAGTTATTGATATTCATGGTTATCTATATAAGTTTCGACGACGTTTAGGCAAGGGTGGTTTCGGTAATAAGAATCTTTTTTCTTTCATGTTTTTATTTTTATTTTATAAAAAAAAATTTTTAGGTGCTGTTTATGCGGCTACAGGACCCGATGGTGATAGTGTAGCAGTTAAAGTAATTGATATAAGTAGAGTGCCATCTCATCGGGCCCCAGGTTTTGTCGAGTCATATTTAACTGAAGTTAAACATCTTGAAAAATTACGACAAGAATCAAATCATGTTGTTCATATTTATGATTTTGATTTTGATCCTGACTATGGTTTAGGTAAATTCATAATTCATTCAATCGAAATCAAAAATTTATTGTTTTTTGTGTTTATTTAGCTTATATTGTAATGGAATTAGGTGGTGAAAGTTTATTAGGACTTGTTAACCGTTTACATAAAAAGGCTAAGCATCGAAGAGAACCTGGTACATATATAAATCCAGTTGTTCGCCAAAGTATTTGGCGCCAAATGGTTACTATTGTCAGGACACTTATTGAAAATAATGTTGTTCATATGGATTTAAAACCAGATAATTTAATTTTATTTGGACGAACACTTAAAATAATTGACTTAGGTTTAGCACAAAAACCTCATGTAGGAAGGTAAGAAAATAATGTTTTCTTCCATTCTTTTATTATGTTTTATTTGTAAAATTTAGTCCTGCTTTTGGGGGTACGCCACAATTTAGGTAAGAATTTAATTAATTATTTTACAGAAATATTTAAATATCTATTCTGTTTTTTTTTTCCTAGTGCACCCGAAGTAATGGATGATCCTTCTGCTCATGGTCATAGTTTTAGTTCAAAATCTGATATTTGGTCTTTAGGTGCTATTCTTTATTTTATGACTTATGGTGTACCACCAAAATATCATCACAGAGCAGCAGATCCTCCACATGGACAAAAACAAGCACGTGATCGTCATCTAGTTGATATTCTTCGTCTTACACTTGTTACAGATCCTCATGGACGAGCCGATATACATACACTTTTACATCATCCATATACAAAACGTCATAAATAAAACGTTATGTCTTTTCTTAGTATTATTATGGACAAAAAAAAACAAGACTATCTCTCGAAAAAAAAAATTCGATAATAAACTTGATTTTTTTTCTTTTTTTTTTGTTATTTATGCTTAACTAGAAAAAAAGAAATTGATAAAATATTCTTCTTTTAGATGGCATCATTAGATAATATTAGAACGAGAATTAAATTAGAGGAAACTGAAGTTTTACATGTAAGTTTTATTTTAATTCAGAGAATATAAATTGTTAATATTTATATGAATAAAGACTACATCAACAGATTTTCCTGGTAATTATCCCGGTTATGATGATCGTTTAAATTTAGATGAATTTCGAAAGGTATCAATAGAACGTTTGATTTGTTGTCATTTTTAACATTGAAATTTTTTAGAATTTAAAAATCCAAATATCAAATTTGGATAAAATAACAACTGAATTTGATTTAATTGGTATTGATGCAGCTATTGCTAATGCATTTCGTCGTATACTTATTGCTGAACTTCCATCAATGGTAAATAGGCAAAACAACAAGAATAATAAATATGATTGATTGAAATTCTTTTGTTTTTAGGCTATTGAAAAAGTTCATGTAACAGAAAATTCATCGGTATTGCCCGATGATGTTCTTGCCCATCGTCTTGGTCTTATTCCATTACATGCTGATGCAAGATTATTTGTTGATAAAACATCAAGTGATACAAAAGAACGTGAAGATGATACATTAATTTTTAAACTAAAAGTTGCATGTAAAAAGAATCCGAAAGCATCAACAGATGGAAATGATGATCCAAATAATCTTTATATTAATAGCAATGGTAAATAAAAACGAGATAATTTTATTGATAAAACTATTTTGAATTATGTTCATTTTTTTTTTTAATTATATAGTGTATACTGAACATATGGAATGGATACCAATTGGAAATCAGGCAACAAAGGTTTGATTAGTTTATGTTTTTTTTCTTTTTGTGGTTAAGAAATGCTTATTAAAAAATTTAGTTTAAATTGGATGATGTTGGGCCAGTTTCACGTGATATATTAATTGTAAAACTTCGTCCGGGTCAAGTAACTATATATATTTCATATGAAAAGTGAATAGATCCATTATTGTTTTGTATAGGAAATTGATCTTAAACTAGTTTGTCATAAAGGTATTGGTCGAGATCATGCTAAATTTTCACCTGTTTGTAAGAGATTTCTTATATATAAAAAATAATATTATTATGATTGATTTATTTTTTAGGTACAGCATCGTATCGTTTAATGCCTGAAATTATTTTGAAAAAACCAATCTATGATGAAGATGCAGAACAATTACAAAAATGTTTTACACAAGGTGTTATTGAACTTGAAGATGATAATAAGGGTAAAAATCAATTATTATTTTTTGTAAATAGATTATCAATGAATAATCAAAAAAGAAAAAGAAATTGCCTTTCAATTCATATTAAAATCAAAATTGTCATTGCCTTGAATCGATCATATGATTGATATTGATAAGTCTTGTCCAATGTACGCATTTTCTACTTCGATACAAGAGAGTAGAATATTAAAATTGTTCTTTTTTCTTCTATGGTGACGTTAATATCGATATCAATGATAGACAGCATTGAAAAGCACTTCCCTATCGACTATATCTTATAAACGGCATTGAGTAATGTAGTATGTGTGTTATGTGTCTTGATACATGTCATAAATTTTGATTAATGAAAAAAAATATGCAAAATAATTTGAAATCATTTATTGTGAATTAATAGGAAAAAAAAATTGATTTTAATCTTTATTCTAAATTTGTGATCATATATTGATATGTTTGCACATGTTTGTCCTTACCAAGTGTGTTTTCATTCCATTTGCCTCGATCTAAAGATAAATGATACTATATCATTGATACATGCAGAACATTTTTTCAGAACTTATCAGTTTAAACTCAGCAGCTTTAAAATTTCGAATTTTTAAACATAGATCAGTGGATTTTGCAATGAAGTTAGTGCTTATAACAGTGTAATGGTGCATTGTACCTATTGGGCACAAATTTCAGCATTCAATTTGACTAATTTTCAAAGCTTGCTTTTTTGTACATCAATGAAGCATTATATATAAAGTTTGTTTTGATCTAATCTTATTAGTATCTTAGATAAGAACTAAAATTTATCCATTGAAATGTCACATAAGTATTTCTCTTATTTGATAATAGGTGAAATTTCTTTAGCAAGGCTAAAAATAACAGTAGTATTTGCCTATTTTTTTTTCTGTATGAAGAAAAAAAACTTTAAATAAGTTTCTGCCATTAACAAAAAAATTAGCCTATTCGAGCGAACTGAAGCGAAAATATTATCAATCTTTTTTTTTTATTGTAGTGCTATTTATGGCTCATCCTATATATTAGTGTTGTAAAAAAAAGAAAAAAAAATATATATATTTATTTAGGTCATCGTCGTGCCGTTGTATCAAAACCTCGTCTTGATATGTGTAGTCGTGAAGCACTTCGTTATCCAGCATTAAAAGATTCTATCGAATTAAATAAAATTCGTGATCATTTCATATGTTTGTATATTAATATAATTAAATAAAATTAATTATTTATTTATTTCATTTTAGTTAGTATTGAAAGTGTTGGTGCAATACCACCAGATCAACTTTTTATCGATGCTATTAAATTACTTATGTCAAAATGTGATCGATTATTACAAGAAATCGATGGTAATATTAACAATTAATAATAGAAATAAAATTTCTTCTACAAATATATTTCTCAAAATGAATGTGTTTGTTTTTGTTTTTGTTTTTTGTTATATTAAAAAGAGAAAAAAATATATATAAGACGACAAAAGAAATGTTGTACCAGCATGTCATATAAAAACGAAGAAGAAGTAAAATTTGACACAATAAAATATATTCATATATATCTTTTTCTCTATATATGTAGACTGTTCTCGATGTAATTGTTTTTTTTTGATGACTAGAAGTACTTAAATATGTATAATTTTAGGGATAAGAAAAGAGAAACAAAATATTTGATCACACGATCATGAAAATACACACGGAAAAATGAACGACCAGCATTCAAAAGAAAAAAAAAAAAAGAATTTTTTAAACCGCACTATCTTTTTCTCGTTGTAATGTTTCAGTTAAATAGAGTCGTAATTGTTCATCAGATAGTGATGTAGATGAATCACAATTTATGGAAGAAGGTGTTAAACTTAATGAACGACGAGTTTGTTGTTGTTGATCATTTAAAGTAGTATTTAATGATGATGATAATAATAAATTAGAAAAATTAATTATTGTTGATGGTGGTGAACGAGATGTTGTTTGAGTTGATTGTACAGAACATGTTGGTTGATTTATTCTAGCTGGAGGCGATAATGATTCTTCATTACTTGATGTTGAAATATTTTTTTTATTATCATCATAATCAGAATTGATTTGATCAAAATTTTCTGTTTTATATGTAAATATTGATGATTGAGGATGAGTTTGACATAATGGATGATGATGATATTGATGATATTGTTCAAGTTTTTGTCGACTTGATAAAATAGTTGGTGCTGATAATTGTGCTTGAACTTGTTGTTGTGCAAGATGTAATTGTTGTATTGAACTCATTTCACGTTTTAATGAACTTATTTTAGATTTTGTTCGAACAAGTTCTTGTTTCATTGCACGATTTTCGACTTCAAGTCGTTTCTTTTCCTTAAATTAAAAGATAATATTATTTATTAGATCAAAAATTTTACTATTCAACATAATTAAATGTTTATCATAATAAAAAAAAAAAGCATAAGAGGTTAGCTATTTCGGGATGGTGTGAATGTAATTTTTATTTGTGTACTCGAATTTGATTGAATTTGAGCGTGAAATTAAATTTAAATATGCATCGGGAAGGACTCATAATTCTCGACCGTCATTTCAATGATATAATAATTGAAATTGTCACTCATATTTTCGTACTAAATATATTGCTTATATAAATATCTATGATGATTAGTATGTACTCAGAAATACAAAAACTAATCTGAAATTTTAATATGTTGCAAGTTTATTGATATAATTTTGATTCAAAAAAACAAAAACTTGACCAATTTCGATTTATATCTGATGATCAATCTTTGATCTAAACCTTAGCAAAGAAATATTCCTAGCATTATATTTAATCTCTCAGATCGTTCTCCAATAGTGTTTATTGAATTGATCTTAGGTCCGGGTCTGAAAATTTTGGATTCGACGGCTCTAGCTGATTGAGAAATTTGCAGAATACACTAATCATTGAATACAAAAAAAACTAATATCTCATATCTTCTGTACGACTATCTAATTTTGATTAGAAAATTTCATTGAAATAATCAAAAACAGGATTTGCTCGAATATTTGTTAGGAAAACAGTGATGCGAAGGGGCTTCATTTTTCAGTAAATATCAATGAATATATTTTTCATAATTCTTATTTTTGTTAAGTTAACTATGTAATAAATGATTATAGCTATTGAAAATATATAGATTTCAATAAAAGAAAAAAAAACAACGGATTTACTTCTTCAGCTTGTCTCAATCGTTCAAAAATTTCATTTTGTGGTGGTTCAGATTTCGTTGGTAATGAATGTAATGATTCAGATAAAGATAATTTTCTAAAACTTAAATTTATATTTTCACTACTACCAAAATTTATTATTGTTTGTGTAGGTTGTGTATTTGTATAAGTTGTAAAACATGTATCATCATCATCAAATGTTGATGATGTTATTAAACCAATATCTTTACATGTTGCTGTTGTTGTTGCACGTTGTTTTGTTAATGATATATCTTTATATTGTATTTGATTTGATTTAATAAAATTTTTTTCATCAATAATATCATCATCACTAATATTACTTTCAAGAAATGATGTTTGATCATAGAATGATTTTGTTTTATCTTGTTCTTTATTAATTTCTGTTTTAGTTGGTGTTGTTATTGTTGTTGTTGTTATACTTGTTGTTGATTCTGATGTACCAGTT